AGGCTGAAGTTAAGTGGAAGGATAGGTTGAGTTCCTGTCTGAAGGCTCTGGGGAAAATTCTGCTTCCAAGTCCATTCTTGTTGTTGGCAGAATGCATTTCCTTGTGGTTGTAGAACTGAGGTTCCCATTTCCTCGCTGGCTGTCAGCTGGGGGCCAATCTTAGCTCCTAACAGTCATTCATCTTCTTTGCCACATGGCCCTCTCCATCTTCAAGTCAGCAACGGCACATCAAATCAATATTGTACTTTGAATCTCTGACTTAGTCTTCTTCAATCAGCCAGAGAAAACTTTCTGCTTTTAAAGAGCTTATGTGATTAGGTCCGGCACAGCTGGATAATCTCCCTATCCCAAGGTCACCTGATCTGGGACTTCAATTACATCTGATCTGGGACTTTCATTACATCTCTTTCAGGCAGTACCTAGATTAGCATTTGATCGAATCATGAGGAGAAGGTGTGTGTACCCGGGGCAAGGAATCTAGTGACGCCATCTTGGAATTCTATCTACCACACGCATCTACTTTTAGGGAAGCTGTAACACTTAAATTAACAAGTATATGTAAAGTACTTGGCACACACCAAGCATGTTTCAGGTAGGAGAATCTGCATGCAAAGAATTAGTCAGTTGAGTTCCCAGGATTGATGAGAACTTGAGTGGGGTGAAAGGAGAGTGTGAGGGGTTGGGAACAATGGAACAGCTGATCAACATCCTCCAGTTCTTGGCTGAGGGGCTTCATTTTGACGTATTCGGAAACAGGAAGTGCCCGTCCCCCTTGGATGAACACCACTATATCCTCCTTGATTTAGGTCTTTGTCGTGGTAATGGCAGTGAGGATTCGGCTTTGGAATGATGGAGAACGGGCCTGAAAATGGCCTCCGGATTAGCCCTCTCAGAAACCATCTGCTTAGAGCTTTTGATTTTGGGGAGAGTGGAGAGGTTTCCTTTAGCTATAAGTCCAGGGATTCAGAAACCACTAAAATAATAGCTTTTCCCAAACCAGTTAAGCAAGGCTCTAATTGGGAGAAATGGGAAGTAGAAGTCAGGATTCCTACTCCCTCTGTTAACCACACGCACGCAGGTCATGGTTGAGGTCCATTTTCAAATCCAAGGAGGCCATTTCCTTTCTTAGCCTGGCATCACTGGCTGAAGAATGAGACAAGGGGCCAAGGCCCCACTGACTCTGGGAAAAAGGCAAACAACCACCAGCCAAGAGTAAGAACTGGGACTTTTATCTGCTCTGCGGGTTGAGCTGCCTGCTCCCAATAAATCTATGTTCCAAACAGTCAGGGGTCAGCATGAGATAAGCGGGAAAGAGATAAAAAGATGGGAGTGAGGGGAGAAAAAGGAGGTGAGAATAAAAAGATTGTCTCTTTTATTCCACAGATGCTATGGTAGGAAGCAGCTTTTCTTTCAAAAACTCCTAGCCCGGACAATTCTCATTTCCAGCTGAATTCTTTTTCATCTCTCTTGGCTCTTTCTGCCTCCATCTCCTATATCTGCCTTGGCTTCTGGATCTCCTCAAAGCTTCCCCCAGAAAAACTCGGGCCAATTTACTCCCTTTGGACAACTGTCATTTTTGAAAAGCTGCCCAGTCTCTTTGCTGTGATTTTCAAGGAGAGACTCTTTCAGGGACAGCAAGTAGGTAGGAGGAGAGAGAAAGACAGGAGCTTCCGATGGTGGGAAAAACATGGATACACACACACACTTCTGAGAAACACTGAACCCATAACTGTGGGAAAATATAACCTTCCTGATACCTGAGCAAGATGTCAAGAAAGAAAAGCAGAGAGTTGAGAACTGGTTTTTGTGCTGCAGCTGCTGGAGTTTGTGCACCAGGGAGGCATGACCTTGTTTGACCTTGTCTGGCAAGACCAGAGGGTTACAGAAGAACCGACCAAAGATATGTGGGCACAAGGCCAGGCCAAGCTGACCAGCGTTGACATGTCAAGGGACAGATGTTGTCTGGCTTGGGCAGCTTGTGGGCAGGGAAGAAACGCGAAGCTCAGCATCTAAGATGCAAGGATAGCAACAACATGAACGGCTACCTGCCTTCCATCATGAATTTGGAAGGAAAAGGCTTGGCTGGCTTGTTGGTCTATGGCCTGAAGTAGCGAAGACTACTCTGCTCCCCACGCTCTCTCCTCTTCACTATTCAAGACAGGTGCCAAATGTGTCATCATGCCTGATGGAGTCTGGCACTGGCTCACTCCCTGTGATCAGCGGCCGACGACCTGACAGAAACACTTTCCCTTATTACATTTTTAACTTGGATTATGCCACACTTAGTTACATTTTGAGAGGAAGGGAGGGAAGAATAGCAGGTCGAGGAGCTTTGCAGAAACGCTGAGCATCAGATAGCACGTGGATAGCCCACTCTATACAAGACGTGTCTTTCACATTTCAACTTAACTAAATATTGACATCCAATTAAAAAACATTGATTGAGAACCTGAAACATTCAAAACAATGGATAAGCTCCATTTTCCACTGAAATCAAAAGGGAAAGCTTGCTGGGGGGACAATAAGGGCCATTACCTATCTCCTACTGGTAATGAGCTCAAGTTGTAGAAAGATACTTTCTGGCTTCATATCATTACTTATTAGTGTGATGGTAAGAACAAAAATCACTCTCAGACTAATGGTCCTTTTGGGCCAGTGGTGAAGATGCTGATTTGGCTTATTACCTGCACTTCTCCTGATGTGGCAGATGATTTGCTGATACAATTATTTTGGATAGCAGTTAATGTTAGGTAATTACTGGCATGGTGGCATCCACGTATGTCTATAAATCCCTAGTGTTTAAACATTGGCTGGGTCGTGGCTACAAATAAGGAGGGCTTGTCTGTGCAAGAGATAAACAATTAGCAAGATCATTCACTATTTCTTCCTTTGCCGTCCGTTCTAATTATGGGTCTGCCCTGAGATCTGGAGCCTTTCTTGGCCTGCACATCATAGCAGGCACACGGGCTTCATCAGCATTTCTACATGCCCTCGTATTCGCCAGGGCGCTCTCTCACTTAAGGCAGTGAGTGACTCTCTCACAGTAGAACTGAGTGTGATTCAAATTCATGCTGGCTAATGAGTCTTCAAGGTTCCATTTTTAACCCTGATATAAGTAACAACCCATATGCTTATTAATAGCTCATTGACGTTTACAATACAGTTTGGGTGAAGGGAGGATGTTCTCTGCCTCCAAGGTCCTGTTTCGACATCATCAGTGCAGCTGCCCCTCCTGTTACAGCCCACAAACCTCACTTGTGATCTCAAGTAGTAGAAGGAAGTGATGAGTAAATATCACAACTGTCACATTCAACCAACCATATAAAACTACTCTGTTACCTCTGAATACAGCAAGGTCACCAGCCCCCGTGGACTGATCCTCTGTTAAATGACCAAGATCATTTTGGGTCAGTAAATGTGTTTTTGTGACACATAACAGTGTAGAAATGAAGCTCAAAAATGATTGCAGGAGAGATTGGTGAGAAAGACTTTTGCTTTTCTGCCAAAATACTCCCTTGAACTTTCCTTCAGGATCAAAGTAACATGGGGAAGTTGAAGGCCACAGAAGTGTGATGAAGTGAATGCTGAGCCCTATTTACGAAAGCAAGTGACTTCGCCCACGGTCCCTCATCCTCAAATCTGCAGTAGATGTGTGGATAATTTTCTCAGGGCAGAATTTCCTAGTTCACTGATCCAGACTTCCATGCTGCTGATGACATAAAGGTAATACTGAAAATAACAGTGGCTGAGAAGCAATCTCAAACTGCCTTTTTACTACATACAATTATCAATGGAATCAAGAGCCACTTTCTTTCTAATACAAAATCATCCGCCGCAGAGTTGCAATTGAAATCCACCACAGTGATTTCAGCCCATAAGTCTCAACTTCTCTTTTTACTTTCTGAAGATTTTTTCCCCCTCCAGTCAGTCTCAGCACTACGGAATAATGAGCAAACAGTTAAAATGGGCTAGTACTCAGTTTCCGCGGAGATTTATGGTCTACCCATCCTCCGGAGGGGCTATAAAACCTTACCCGATGACATCTCATTTTGAAATCTCTTGTATTAAGAAAAGTGATGGGTGTGGTGCAAAAGCGAACTCTGGATGTGAGTGATATTGCGACAAGACTGCACTTCAAAACAGAGTCCTAACTCAGTAAGAACCTTCTGCCGTCAGCTGGGTATCTCAGTGTTCACCATTGCACCTTTGCCAACAACCTCCGTCCCCTCCCTTCCCCACTCTCTCACTTTTACAAAAACATCCTTCTTAATTTTATCCTAATATGTTTGGTATTTTTTCCCTCTACATTATGCTTTCGATTTTAAACATTCCCAGGTAGATTTTTATCTCCTCTGTGAAAACGTCAAGCCTCAAGTTATAACAATGGGGATTCCAAATCAGCCAGAATCACCACGACGATAAAGCTGCCTGCAAGTTATAACATTTGCCAGAGAGACAAGTCACGTTTAAAATAGAACAGAGCAGTGACCATGTCAGGGAGCTGACCGTTTACTTTCTGCCCCAGCTGACCTCTTGTGATCTCTGACCCTGGGCAGAGGAACAAGGAACGGCAAAGAGCTGAGTTTCAGGGAGTAGCCTTGCTTTCTGGAAGGCGCCCAGGTCTGCCCCAAGAGCAGAGAGGTAAGTGCCGAATTCGAGCCAGCTCTGGAGTTGCTCTGTCTGGCAACCGCATTCTGGAAAACCGAAGTCCAGCAGCAGCTTTCCACATCAAGACAAGGAGATAAAGGAGGGGAAATGGCCCAGGGAATAGGAGGGGGGCTAAGGAGCGAACAAGAAGCTCAAGAGGAGGGGCTGAGAGCATTTCTTCGCTGTGCTGCTGCATAGAAACTTTTTCTCACACCGAGATCTACTCGGGGACTGAGGTCTGAGGTCCGCAGCAGCTGGCGGGGTCCGGGTGGGGAACGCGCTCCGAGCCCAGGGCCGGGGCTCGAGCGCCGCAGGCCGGGGCTGGCGCGCTCCCTCGCGGGCGGGGTCCTCACCTGTTCCAGCGGGCCACCTTCCTCCGGTAATACCGCAGCGCCTCCTGGCTGGCCAGGAGCGAGTCTTCGGGCCCGAGGAGAGGCGGCTCCTCCGGGACGTTGTACAGCGGGTGGGCGAAGAGGGCCTGCAGCTTGGAGCCGGGGCCGCTGCGGCCGCCGCCGTCCTGCTCGGCCGGGGGCCCGGCTCGGGAAAAGTTGTGCGCGGCCGTGCGCGGGTCCGAGGAGGCTGCGGCGGGGGCCGGGGCCGGGGAGGAGGCGCGGCCGGCGCACGGGCAGCCCCGCGGCTGCTCTCGGGGCCGCAGCTGGCGCTGCACCTGGGGCCAGAGGTGGAAGTAGAGGTCGGCGGAGAGCAGCGCGCCCAGCAGCAGCAGGGTCAGCAGGCGGTCCCGGCGCAGCACGGGCATGGCCCCGCCGGGGACCCGGGAGCGCGCGGGGCGCAGAGGGCCGCCTGGAGTCCCGCGGGCCGGCCGCGGTCGATGGGGCCGGAGTGCTCACCGCGCGGGATAGCCCCGCTTTGAGAGGTGCCGCCCCTGAACTTGGGAACCGGGTGCAGGGCGCGCGAGGGCTCGTGGTGTTGGCGGGAGTCCCTCTCCGCGCGGAGTGCAGACCAGGGGATGGTGTCTCTCGGGCTCCTGTTTCTCGCACCTTCTCTTCCCCGCGCCCCCCCCGACCCGGGAGCCCGCGGCAGGTGAAGGGCCGGGGGCGCGGGTCCTGGCTGCGCGCTGCGGGCGGACGGGCGGCGGGGCAGGGGGCGGCGGCGAGCAGGAGCGCAGGGAGCGGGCGGCGGCGCTCGCCCCCAGGAAGAGGGAGGCGGCTGCAGAGCCTGGGGCGTCTCTCCAGAGGATGCTGTCGCTCGGCGGCGGCTGCGACTGTTTCCGCGGCTCCTTCTGCGGGCGGTGGGGACGCCCGTGCCCCCGGCTCCTGCGGACAAGCTCGTCTGCGCGCCCGACTCCTAGAGGCAGAGGTAACGCCGGGCCTCCCGCGTCTGGCCTGGTGCCTGCACCTCCGCCCACTCTCAGCTGGCACCTGCCTCTGGCGCAGCTCGCCAGCCAACTCGCGATCCCTCTGCCGGCTCTGCCCTTCCACCTTGTCACCCAACCCACTTCTCGCGCCCATCCCCCCTCGCCCTAGGTCTCCCACTTTCCCTGCTCTCAGCCCAGACTCTTTGGGGGACTCAGGCGGGGTGCGTGTGTGAAACCTTTTATTTTCATTTTTATTTTTTAGAAAAAGACAGCTCCCTGAAAGTCCTTCCCCTGTAAGATTTGCCAGAAGTGTGTGTGTTGTCTGTTCTCTCTTTGTGTCTTCCCACAGAGCACATGCTAGGTCCATAACAACACGTCATGTGCCTGGCACATAGTAGGCGCTCAAGAAACACCCATTAAGTGAATGAAAAAATTTGACCTTTAAAAGTAAGGCACCAGTTTTACCTAGAACCTTGGTGATTTCCTGTTTGGATGGAGTTTGATTCCAACTGTGCCTGTGCTTTACAAAGGAGGAAATTTTTCTTGTGCTCAAGGAGGGAGGGGCACCGGATGACCCCACTCTGAACTTTTGCATTTCGCTTCGTGTGAAAGTAGTCCACCCAGATGAATCACTGGACGCCACATGCGAGGCTTTCTCCCGTTATCCTGTGAGGTAATTTATGCTCCCCGACCCCCCACCCCCCCCCCCCATGTTACAGTAACAATAGGAAGTTAATACAGGGTGCAAATTAAAATGCCTACGAAGTCCAGAATGTACCATAAATGAGTAGAGTGGGTGATAGGTAAAAACATTTTTATAAAATATGTGGCTCTTTCAGTCTGTCTTTCATTTTTTCCAGTTTTGATAGAGATAGTGCAAAAATATTTAATTTTCATCCTAATTTTATCTGTAAAAAAGACAATAGTAGAAGTATGGTGATAAATGGCTACTTATGTAATGTGATGGCAGGTAGAGATTAGAGGGTGGTGGGGATTGCGGTGAACTGGGAAAGTGAATAAGCTGCTGAATGTGAATAAGCTGAAGCCCATTGTTACCTTGTAGCTCCCACCCTTGCTCCCTTCCCGCCTAGACACACGTGATCACATCCTGAAGCTGATTTGGATTTTATCTGCTCTCTCTCTCTCTTTTCAAAGCACTTTACAAAG